GGGGGCATTGCTGTATACATCAGGGAACATTATACACCTTCTGTAATGAAGATGGGGACAGAAGGACAGATCGAAGTCCTATGTGTCAGATTACAAGGGGGTAGGGGTGAAAGGGACTTGGTAGTGGGGGTCTACTACAGACCCCCACACCAGGAGGAGGAGGAGTTAGACCTAGAGTTCTCGAAACGGCTCTCAAAGGCAGTATGCTCAAAGGACCTAGTTGTCATGGGTAACCTAAATTACCCAGACATCTTCTGGGAGGAGCAGTCGGCCAGGTCTGCCCATTCATGTAGGTTCCTAACCTGCATACAAGACGTGCACCTAACTAAGGAAGTATGCAGTCCCACTAGGAGAAATACCGTACTTGACTTGGTGCTGGCCACAGGGGAGGACTTGGTGAGGGATCTACAGGTACAAGGTCACCTAGGGGATAGTGACCACCAGTTGATAGGATTCACTATCCGGCAAAAGGTGGGAAAAACAACTAGTACGGCTGAAGTGCTAGATGTCCGGAAGGCCAACTTCAAGGAGCTCAGGGGGGCTGGGGGGTAATCACATCTGTGAGTTGGGAGTCCTAGAAGGGTGGCAGTTCCTCAAGGGACTGAACCTGGAGGCACAGAGGGGCACCATCCCAGTTCATACAGAGGGAGGCAAAAGAGCCAAAAAACCTTCTTGGGTGAACAGGGAAATTGAGGAGAGCCTTCAGAGGAAAAAAGAGGCTTACAGGCCGTGGAAGCAGGGGGTGGCCACCAAAGAAGAGTACACCTGCTTGGCTCTCACTTGCAGGGAAGCAGTGAGGAAGGCCAAAGCAGATACTGAACTTAAGTTGGTGACAAAGATTAAGAGTAACAAAAAGTCCTTCTTTAAGTACAGTATGTAGGGAGCAAGAAGAAGGCGCAGGGTAACATAAGACCTCTATTGAATGGTCTACGGCAACACAGAACAGACAGGATGGATAAAGCAGAGCTTTTAAATGACTTCTTTGCATTTGTGTTCCTGGACACAGATACAAACAGACCCCCCAATAAGAGAAATACCAATCCACTAGGTCAGTGCTAACCATAGGTGAAGGGGCACTTGGAGGGGTTGGGCATATTTAAGTCGGTGGGCCCCAATGATCTTCACCCAAGGGTACTAAAGGAATTGGCCGGTGTCATAGCGAAACCACTGCACAACTGTTTGAACGTTCACGGTGCTCAGGACAGTCCCAGAAGACTGGAAAAAGGCCAATGTAGTCCCTATTTTCAAGAAGAGGAGGAAGGAGGACCCAGGTAATTATAGGCCGGTTAGCCTCACCTCTATTCTTGGCAAGACCTTAGAAAAAATCATAAAGGATCACATTTTGTGAGGACCAGTGGGTAATACAATGTTAAGGGGAAACCAGAATGGGTTTATAGCAGGCAGATCCTGCCTGACTAACCTGGTCTCTTTTTATGACCAGGTCACAAAGTGCTTAGCTGCAGGGGTGGAGATGGATGTTATTTACTTGGACTATAAAAAGGCTTTTGACAGTGGTCGCACCCAATTCTTACAAGCAAACTGAGTAGCTGTGATGTGGATTTTTTTACAGTAAGGTGGGTGAAAAACTGGCTTATGGGATGCACCCAGAGAGTGGTGGTGGATGGGGTGGTTTCTCTCTGGAGAGATCTGGGCAGTCGTATCCCCAAGGGCTCTGTCCTTGGACCAGTGCTGTTCAATATCTTCATCAGTGATTTGGATGAGAGGGTTAAAAGCACTCTGTCTAAATTCGCAGATGACACCAAACTATGGGGTACAGTAAACACACTGGAGGGCAGGGAGTGAATCCAGGTGGATTTGGATAGACTGGGGAAGTGGGCAGATCAGAATAGGATGCAATTTAACAAGGATAAGTGCATGGTGCTGCACCTAGGGAGAAAAAAATCTCCAATACACCTATAGACTGGGAAGTACCATTCTGAGTACTACGGCAGTGGAAAGGGATCTCTGAGTCTTAATTGACGCAAAAATGAACGAGTCACCAATGTAACGAGGTAATAAGTAAGGCTAAAGAGTGCACTCTTTCTTGCATTAGTAGGCGCAACATAAACAGGTCTAGGGAGGTGATACTTCCCTTCTATGCGGCATTGGTCAGGCCACAGTTGGAGTACTGTGTGCAGCTTTGGGCTCTGCACTTCAAGAGGGATGTGGATAACCTTGAGAGGGTTCAGAGAAGGGCTACTCGTATGGTTGAGGGCTTGCAGGTAAGATCCTATGAAGACAGACTGAGGGACCTGAATCTCTTCAGCCTCTGCAAGAGAAGGCTGAGAGGTGATCTTGTGGCTGTCTACAAACTCGTCAGGGGAGGAGGTCGTCAGGGAATAAGGGATACTCTGTTTACCAGGGTGCACCTCAGGGTTACTAGAAATAATGGTCACAATCTAAAGGAAAGTGGATTTAGATTGGATATCAGAAAGAAATACTTTACAGTGAGGGTTGCCAAAATATGGAATGGGCTTCCAAGGGAGGTGGTGCTTTCCCCTACCTTGGAGGTGTTCGAGAAGAGATTAGATAGGCACCTAGCTGGGGTTATTTAACCCCAGCGTTCTTTCCTGCCTAGAGCAGGGGGTCAGACTCGATGATCTACAAGGTCCCTTCCAACCCTAGAAATCTATAAAATCTACACACGTGCCTAATACCCTGCTCCAATGCATGCTAATTAGAACATGTGAGAGCAGACTCGATTAATCAAGCACACTTTAGCAGCCTCTGTGTCACATGTATTCAGCATCTTCACGCTTCTAAAAGGTGGTGGGGGCACTTTAACTAAAGCTTGTCGAATGAGAGCCACTAATTAAAGTGCCACTTGAATTAGAGTGGCCATGAGCCACTCTAATTAAAGCTCCCCCACTCTTCCTACCCTGGAGCTTGTGTAAAGATGCCCCTACTTCCTAAAAGGACCTTGTTCAGTATGGCGCTGAGGAACTTGGGATGATGATCCTAGTGGCAAGCACAAATACCATTAAGTACAGTCTAGATGCAAGCAATCAGTATTTGGCTCATGTTTAACAAAAATGTGGACAGGAAAAGGATGGTCTGTTTGCTTTGAGGTCAAAAGGTATGCACCAGGACACCTGGATATCTTGCAGTGGGCATACACACTTGATCCCAGAGCCTGTGCATAAATATCCGCAGGTATGTAGTATCCCTTACACAAGTAGAACCACTTCAAGTAGTTCAGCCAATATCACGCATAGCTCCAGTGGGGCCCCTCTTGTGAAGAAAGTTTCCATTTCAAGGGCCCTGACCTCATTCCAGAAATGAGGTCAGGGCCCTTGTGTTCTAAATGGTAAGGGATAATCTTACAGGGGTTAGACTATTCTACTCAACTACGGTCTAGAAGAACAGTTGTCCAAAAACGATGCATGGCATCTTTTTGTTTACAATGAACAGAATACAGACACTCCTTGGACTTATGACACAGTTGGCTCCTGACAACTGTGTTTTAAGTCGAAACATCATAACTCTGTTCCTATGGGAAAATCAATTCCATGTTATAAGTGGAGGATTGGTTTCTGAACCAAGGGCTGATACCCTATTTTCACCAAAAATAACCCAGAATTTTGTACTCAATCAATTACAGATGAATAATATAGCTACATTAATGTATTTATGTTGTAAATAACACTCATATTGATTTGGAATAACTTCTCTGAGGTGACTTTGCTGGACTTTTTGAAGGGCTTTTTGCATGGCGGATTGGTGCAGGGAGATGGGCAATGCAGCAAACTTGTTCACTGGCATGGTGTCATGTCAGATTGAGCATTGTAGTTGAAACCAATGTCAGAAAGTCGAAACAGGGTGTCAATTTATAAATGTCATAAATGCCATTTGTCATAACTCAAATGTCATAAAGTCGAGGACTGCCTGTATCACACTTCAAAAAGTGATGATTTCAGAAGCCATAGCTTACATCTGAATATCAACCAACCTGCCGATAGACAATTCTTTGGAAGAGGAACTAAAATGGAAATTCAATACAGAGTACAGTATCTTTGTTGTTCTCCCAAAGAGGAGAAAAAAAAAGATACATCTTATTTCATAATTCTCAAGTAACTTTGATTTAAGTTATTTTATTGTGCGTGTATATGGGGTTGTGAACAATTATGTAAACTGCATTGTGAGATCAGCAGTGTCAAAATTAAGAGCAATCTCTTCCTACTCACACTGATGCTGGAACTAATTATTATGGTTTAGAGAAGATAAGAAAAACATACCATAATACTTAAGAGTTTTAGGGTAAAGTTATACATTGCACTTAGACCATCCTCAATCTGAGGAATGGTAAATGATATTGAAGTCAGAACAAGCTGTGAGCAGTTGCACATTGAGAGTCAATACTGTGTCTTGCCTGCAGAACTCTGACTTGCTATTAGAAGGCTGTACGCCCTCTAGGAGCCAAGACACCTGGGATCTATGCCTGCTGGAGAGGAGGGGGCTGGAAGTAGTGCATCCTGGGTTGCCGGAGGACTACAAATTGCTGGCTTTATCTCCATGGAGCAGACTGAAGTTACCCCAACACCGGCTAGGTAGCACGGCCCAAAGTAACACTCACCAGAAGTGGTGGAAGTTTGACAGGAGGGCATTTAGCATGAGTTTTAAACAGAGCATTTTAGACCTTAGTATGGTCTAAGGGTAATGTGTAACTTCATTCCTGGATGACATTTTTGTTTGTAATTGTTTTCTATCTAAAGTTGCGCATAAATGCAAAAAAACCCCAAACAGAACCGAATTACCAGGAAGCAGTTTAAAAAATTCATATACTCTATTCCTATTCCTGATCTTGAAACAGACCAAAGAATACAGTCAGATTGTTTCTCTCTTGGTCACACAGCAAATCGATTCTGGCAACTGAAGCATCCCAGCAGTATTACAGTGCAGTTGATTTACCTCTCTAACTTACAAATCCTATTAATAGTTTTGCAGCAACTACATTTTCAAGTCTATTTTTATGCACAAAGTCTTTCTGTATATGCTGTTACCTTAAAGAAGTCATCTTGGTAGATTATACTGCAATTTGGAAGCAGTTTCTTAAGCTTTTCTGCCAGTGTTGTTTTCCCCCCATTTGTCACACTGAGTTAAAGAACAGAATAAAGGCTATGTCAGGACAGAAAAAAAAAATCAGGAACAAAGCATGCATCAAAAATAAAGCCACTGCCAAAACGTAATTTTATTCACAATGCTGATCATGCCTGCATGGCTCCCAGTCATTTGTCTGGATGTTCTGACTGCTTTCAACCAATGCGCAAGATAATGGCATAGGGAAGATCAGAGCTGATGTCCCAAAGGGTTGATTTATGATGGAGGTAGGGACAAGATGCAAAAAAATTGCATGCAATACTAGTGACAAGTGTTAAGATCATACTTTTAATTCTTTCTCTGATAATAATATATTCATATACAGACAGGCACTTGTAGACTTCATCTCGAAGCTTGAAGAAATCTCATGTTTTTGCTTTAGAATTTAAACTTTTTGTACTTACCCTCCAAGGCCAACAACCAGTTTCATAATTAGTATTCTATCCACTTCCTTTCTTCCAACTGTCTAAAACAAGAACAGTCAGTGAACACACCTACTTTGGCAATGATAAAAGCAATTGCTACAAGGGGAAAAAGCAATTAATGTAAAAGGCCCTTTTATCTTTTTAAACTCTACCACTGCTACACACACATCTTCAGAACTTCCAATGTCTTAACTGAAAAAAAAAAATCAAATTACAGTGCATTACATCATATATACTGTTTTTGACAACCTTTTTTCCTTTTACTTATTTATAGTCCTATAAGACTCAGACCTACAACTCCTTCCTGCTGCTTAGCTCAATAAGTTTTTGTAAGATCAAGCCCTTAGAAGTAAATTACAAGAGCAGAGAAATGGGTTACTGTCTTGTTTTATATAGGTAAAAAGACTGAGTTCCTCATTTCTCCCCACAGACTTATTTTGTAGTATCAGACATGTCACTTTTCTGTTCCCCAGTTCTCCCCATTGGTAAAATAAAATCCTATCTACTCATTTCAAAATCTGGAGACCGACACTGAGCTGAGACAGTACCTATTAACTTTGTAATTGGAGTTCAACATTTCTGAAAATAAATACATCTATGTTTGCTAAGACCTTTAAGAATCTCAGACAGCATTATAAATGTTTAAAGGGTTAATATTTTCAATTGAGAGAAAAGGCAACATTGCTTTAAGAGGAGGCAGACAGATGTACATGGTGGTTGTCTGGCCTATCCAAATGCAAATATTTTCAAATAAATATGAGTTCTGGACTTTGTTCTAAAGAATTAACCTTTGTTGCACAAAAAAGCATTAGCCGACAAATTAGGTAACACTGATACATACTGTGAAGGGTTTTGAACTCTCTAATTTACGTCACTGTCCATCTCCAGTGTAATCGTAGCTTAAGAAAAATTCCAGAATAAACAAAAAGAAGAAACAAACAGCTTGTGGAGCCACATGGGTGGATGGCAGTATTACACCATAGAATTTCAGTATAACAAGGCTCAGGTTGGCTTGTGTGAGTAAGACCAAAACTTGTTTATAGTCATATTATAGACCTGTAACAGGTATGTAGAGCTCAAGTCTGCACATGATCTAGTAATAATTCTACAACATAGTTATGGCCAGATCACATTATCTCTACACAGAGTAGACCAAACTAGTTTAATAAAACAATGACTCAAAGATGCTTCTGCATGAGTAGATGGCAGCAGTAATGCAATCAGATGCTATGGCTTGAAACAGTAAGTTTGATACTTGTGCTACAGTGCAGACCACATCAACCACATCTCACTGGAGTCAAATTCTGAAATGCTTTGCATTAGAACATTTTTACATGCTAAATTACAAACACACACTGAAAACAAACTTAAAAATAATTTTAAAATATTTAAATTTAATTATAGATCTAAGATTTGGGGATGAATTTTGAAGTGGGGTGCCAGGTGTTGGGAAGGGTAATATATTTTTTGGTTCATCTTTGAAAGCAAAAAGTCTTTACAGTATTTTCTATTTTTTTCCAATAGGATAGTGATAATTTTGGACACACCGCAACACAAAAGTGCTTGGTCTAGATATAGAATAAACTGAGCCATGCTTCTTCAAATGGCCTGAAGACAAAACACAGCCATATGACCAACTAAATAAAAATACACCCCCTTTTGGACAATGTTAGGCAGTGCTCCTGTACTCTGATGCACAAGGGTGGACCCATGTGATTGCATTACTAAACTCAATTAACCCCATGCAGGGGTACATCCGTGCATGGCATTTTTCAGGATCATGGACCTATTTGGCATCTACTCAAGTGCTGCACATCTAAATAAAGTACCTCCAGTACCAGGGGTCCTGGGGTTTTAAATGCTTGCTATACAAATTCTAAAGTAAATTTAGTTATAAGGGTCTTCACATAGGCAATTCTTCTTACACACATATACACACACACAACTGGAGACTGGTGAAAGGCAACAGGCCAGTGGAGACGCTGACATTTAAAGGTATGCTCAGAGCCAGCTTACCACAAGTTGTGAGTCTTGCATGACCCCAAGAACAAGACAGACAATGCTAACCACAGCCAGCCCTGTGGGTACAGTTGCACGACATGTTACACTTCAACCGTACTAAGGGCACTTAAAGCCTCTGCACATTAAAGCTTGTTAGTGCCCTCAATGTTACACCACTTCAGAAGAGGATTAACCCTGGGCTGTGCTACCTAGATTGGCAGGGTAACTCCCATCTGATCCACAGAGATAAAATGAACAATTTTGCAGTCCTCCAACATCCCAGAATGCACTGCTCTCAACCGCCAGCAAGGGACAAAGCCCAGGTGGCCTGGCTCTTAGCCACGCCCCTGCTCGCCCACCCTCTGGTGGCATATCCTAGCTGTGCAGGCAAGAAATGACGTTAACTCTCAACAGGAGACAGCTCACAGCACCTTCTAGGTGTTCCCCACCTAACATCCCAAAAGTGCCATAGGGTCCAAGGGCCAGGCCACCTGGATCAGTGGGTCTCAACTTTTTTTGTACCAGGACCCATTTGTAAAAATCAATGGCCAGTCCTGACCCAGTGCCCCTCACTCTGGACCTGCCGCCCCCTTGTGTGGGGCAGGAGGCGGGGTGGTTTGTAGGTTGTGGGAAGCCCCAAGCAGCCCCTTGCAGGCTGGAACTCTGCCAACCTCCAAGGGGAAAACCCAGAGTTTCCTAGGTTTTTCTCCTTTAAAGGAGAACCCATTTTTAAAGTCGGCTTGAGACCCTTTCATATATTCTTGCAACCCACTTTTTAATTTTTTTTTTTTTTGTGGAAGATTTTTAATGTTCTAGGCCAGATCAGTTCTGACTCCTTTTGACTGAGCAAAACTCATAGTTTAAACACCATATGTGGCACAGCAACCAGCATTTATCCTCCACCCAACTTCACAACCTGGGGCTTCAGATACTTCCAAATCCAAATCCATTGGTAGGCAACCTATGTGCAGGCCCAAGCCTGGAGGCTTGGGGTTCAGATGCCCTCCCAAGCCTCGCTTGCATGCAGAAGAAAGCTAGGTGGTGCCCCACTTCCATAAAGTAGGTGCGAAGCCGAGGTCGTCCCGCTGGAAACTGGCCAGTTGGAAGCCAATCACAAGGTGTCCTGTCCACAGTGCATTTGGACAAGGGTGCCCCCTCCGCCACACAATGCCCTTTATTTAAATCCATTTTAGCTCCGGTACCGCACCAGTGCAGCGAGTACACTTGATCTTAACCACCAAGAAGGTCGCGCCCCACGGGTTGGGAAACGCCGCCCTGGCTGATACCCTCCCGCGGAGACCGGCAGCTTGCCATCAGGTTCCAGGGTCCCGGATCTGGGCGGCGCTGCACACAGGCTCAGCTCCCCCCTCCCCTCCTGCTGCCCACCCGCCAGCCCCTCACGCCCGGCGTGGGCAAGCCCCCACCGCTCAACGCGGGGCAGCTCCACCAGGCGCCAGGCGACCTCCCCCGCGATGCCCCACACAGTCCCCGGGGCCCGCCTGCAGCCTTGCACGGAGTCACCCTCCCGCGCTGCGCCAGGAACCCACCGCCCCCGCCCCGATTGTGACGCAGCGCTGCAGAGCTCCGCCCCTGCCCCATCTCCATTGTGACGCACACCGTTGAATCCCACCCCCATTAAACACTAAGCCACACAGGCCTCCCCCTACTGCGGCCGGAGCCCCAGCCCCACCCCCACTCTCTGACGTATAAGAGCTGATCCCGCCCACTGGTGAAGGGAGGGGGGGAGAAGAGGAGCAAGGGGGCGTGGCCCCGTGACCCCCGCCCACCCCGTAGCCATTGGCTACGTTCGTCCTCCGCCCCGGCGGGGATTGGCTGCTGCCTTCCCTCCCCGGCTTCCCGGTCCCCGTTTGCAGCGCCCCACGGCCGCCTGCAGGTGGAGCCCGCGCGCGGGGGCGCCGCGCCTCGCACTTCCTCATCGCTGCCGCCTGCAGGGAGCCCAGCGTCCCGACGCGCCCCTTCGCGCAGCGCCAGCAGCACCGCCGGGTGGGGCGGCCCGGGCCGCCCGCACGGGCCAGC